CACCGCCTGGCTGGCCTGCCTCCCCCCGAACCCCCTTCTAAGTCCGCCGGAGTTGGGGGAGAAGAGAGGGAGAGCGTGGGAGAGGGAGATGCCAAAACCCTAACGCTGGTGAGGTTCTCCATCTCCGACACCAGCTGTGAGGGTAGAGTGGGCCTGCGTCGCGCGGTCGCGCTCCGGCGCGACAGGTCGTGTATTAGACTTTGCGTTTTGGCAAGGAACTAAAACCGTGCCTTTTGGACTGTTTTCTAAACATAATTGGAGATGCTCCAACAACAGGAGTTAACCAACACGAATCCTACGGCACGAAGGCGCCGCGGTTTGGTATTTCCGCGTGTCGCCTCATCCCAGCGCGCACGGAACGCCTCGAGGCCCGCGCACTCGGAGCCAGCGCACGCCGAGACGAAGCCGCGAACCAGAGGCGCTCCACGAAGGCCGGCACGGGCAGCCAAAAAAAGAGCTCGGTGTCGCGGGGGCACCGCCCGCGTCCGCTGCTCCCTATAAGGCGGCCGCGCCCGTGTTACGGCCAATGCCGTCTTCGTCCATCCACGGAGAGAGAGGCAGAGGCAGGCAGCCGGTTGCGTGCCCCGCCCTCCCTCCGTGCGCTCCGAAGATCTCCGCCCCTGGCGCGGTGAGCTCGTAACCAGCCGGACGGCGCCCGCCCGCCCCTCTGTCTAGAGGCTCGCCGCACGCACTCCAATAAAAGAAAACAAGAAAAAGAAGCAACCATGGCGTCCATCTCCCCGGAGACCATAGGCGGGGACGTCAATCTGGTACGTGCGCGGCCGCGATCACCGTCCTTGTCGACCACCGTCACACGCCGCGCGCGTACTGATGCTAGCTTGATGGCTTTGGGATTTGCAGTCCAAGATTCCGGTGGAGGAGGTGTTCAAGACGCTGAAATGCGACCGCAAGGGGCTGTCCAGTACGGAGGGCGAGAACCGGCTCCGGACGTTCGGACCCAACAAGTTGGAGGAGAAGAAGGAGAACAACCTGCTCAAGTTCCTGGGCTTCATGTGGAACCCGCTCTCGTGGGTCATGGAGCTGGCGGCCATCATGGCCATCGCGCTCGCCAATGGCGGCGGCAGGCCGCCCGACTGGCAGGACTTCGTCGGGATCGTCTCGCTGCTCTTCATCAACTCCACCATCAGCTACATCGAGGAGGCCAACGCCGGGAATGCCGCCGCGGCGCTCATGGCCGGGCTGGCGCCCAAGACCAAGCTGCTGAGGGACGGCAGGTGGGAGGAGCAGGACGCGTCGATCCTCGTGCCCGGTGACATCATCAGCATCAAGCTCGGCGACATCGTCCCCGCCGACGCGAGGCTGCTCGAGGGCGACCCGCTCAAGATCGACCAGTCGGCGCTCACCGGTGAGTCGCTCCCCGTGAACAAGCACCCTGGGCAGGAGGTGTTCTCGGGCTCCACCGTGAAGCAGGGAGAGATCGAGGCCGTCGTCATCGCCACCGGGGTGCGCACCTTCTTCGGAAAGGCGGCGCACCTCGTCGACAGCACCAACAACGTCGGCCACTTCCAGCAGGTGCTCACGGCCATCGGCAACTTCTGCATCATCTCCATCGCTGCCGGCATGCTGGTCGAGATCGTCGTCATGTACCCGATCCAGCACCGCGCCTACCGCGACGGCATCGACAACCTCCTCGTGCTGCTCATCGGCGGGATCCCCATCGCCATGCCCACCGTGCTCTCGGTCACCATGGCCATCGGCTCCCACCGCCTGTCGCAGCAGGGGGCCATCACCAAGCGCATGACGGCCATCGAGGAGATGGCCGGCATGGACATGCTCTGCAGCGACAAGACCGGCACCCTCACCCTCAACAAGCTCACCGTCGACAAGTCCCTCATCGAGGTGTACTCCAAGGGCGTCGACAAGGACATGGTGCTCCTCTACGCCGCGAGGGCCTCCCGTGTCGAGAACCAGGACGCCATCGACACCTGTATCGTGAACATGCTTGCCGACCCCAAGGAGGCCCGCGCTGGCATCCAGGAAGTCCACTTCCTCCCCTTTAACCCGGTCGAGAAGCGCACGGCCATCACCTACATCGACGGCAATGGGGACTGGCACAGGGTCAGCAAGGGTGCTCCCGAGCAGATCATCGAGCTCTGCAACATGGGCGCCGAGGCCGAGAAGAAGGTCCATGCCTTGATCGACGGGTACGCCGACCGCGGCCTCCGGTCGCTCGGCGTGTCGTACCAGCAGGTGCCGGAGAAGAGCAAGGAGAGCGCCGGCGACCCGTGGCAGTTCATCGGCCTCCTGCCCCTGTTCGACCCTCCGAGGCACGACAGCGCGGAGACCATCCGCCGCGCGCTCCACCTGGGCGTCAACGTGAAGATGATCACCGGTGACCAGCTCGCCATCGGCAAGGAGACCGGCCGCCGGCTCGGCATGGGCACCAACATGTACCCCTCCACCACGCTACTGGGCGACAAGAACAGCACGGTGAACGGCATGCACATCGACGAGCTCATCGAGAAGGCCGACGGCTTCGCGGGGGTCTTCCCCGAGCACAAGTACGAGATCGTGAAGCGGCTGCAGGACCGGAACCATATCTGCGGCATGACCGGGGACGGCGTGAACGACGCACCGGCGCTGAAGAAGGCGGACATCGGCATCGCCGTGGACGACGCGACGGACGCGGCCCGGAGCGCGTCGGACATCGTGCTGACGGAGCCCGGGCTGAGCGTGATCGTGAGCGCCGTGCTGACGAGCCGCTCCATCTTCCAGCGCATGAAGAACTACACCATCTACGCCGTGTCCATCACCATCCGCATCGTGCTGGGCTTCCTCCTCATCGCGCTCATCTGGAAGTTCGACTTCGCGCCCTTCATGGTGCTCATCATCGCCATCCTCAACGACGGCACCATCATGACCATCTCCAAGGACCGCGTGAAGCCGTCGCCCACCCCCGACTCGTGGAAGCTCGACGAGATCTTCGCCACCGGCGTCGTGCTCGGCACCTACATGGCCATCGTCACCGCCGTCTTCTTCTACCTCGCCCACGACACCGACTTCTTCACGGTACACCTACCCCACTGCCATTGTCAGGTCCATTATCCAGGACGGTCCTTTCACTGGTAGCAAGCTCGCTCACCCAGCAGATGCGATATGATGCAGGACGTGTTCGGCGTGATGTCGATCAAGGAGAACGACAGGGAGCTGATGGCGGCGCTGTACCTCCAAGTGAGCATCATCAGCCAGGCGCTCATCTTCGTGACGCGGTCCCGGAGCTGGTCCTTCGTGGAGCGGCCGGGCTTTCTCCTGCTCTTCGCCTTCTTCGCCGCCCAGCTGGTGGCGACGTGCATCGCGGTGTACGCCAACTGGGACTTCTGCCGCATGCAGGGGATCGGCTGGGCGTGGGGCGGCGCCATCTGGATCTTCAGCGTCGTCACCTACGTCCCGCTCGACGTGCTCAAGTTCATGATCCGCGCCGCGCTCAGAGGCAAGGCCACGGGCAACAACGTCCAGAACAAGGCAAGCTTGGCCACTCTCGCTCAAACTGCTCCACTGTTGTCGTCTACTCTGCCTTGATCTTGAGCTGACGATGATGTAGCCTTGATCGGTCGCCTTGCCGTTGTCTCTCTGTCTGTGTCGCGTCGTCTCCAGTGATACGTTTCTTGGTGCTTGTCTCGCGCGGACGGCGTTCACGAACAAGGACAGCGGCAAGGGCGAGCGCGAGGCACAGTGGGCGGTAGAGCAGAGGACACTCCACGGCCTGAACCAGCTCGCCACCTCCTCCGACCTTCCACCTCCTCCGAGCTCACCGAGCAGGCCCGCCAAGGTCGCAACTCGCAAGGTACGTTAGCCTAGCCACCGTCTTCTCCGGCGACGAACTAGCCATCTCTAGAGCTGCTGATCTCAACGGCCTTCTTGATGCCTGCAGACTTGTGGAGCTGCAGACACTTAAGAGGCGCGTCGAGTCGGTGGTGAAGCTAGCAGAAGGGGATCGGCGTCGATACCTTTCCGTAGAGCTACACCGCGTGACCGACGGCGTCCAGCGGTGGCCGGAGGGGGAGTCCTGTGTTCTTCGTTTCCTTAGGTGTACTTATGTGGGTTTTTGGGCGGCAACAGCTTTTTGTGATCTCTGATCAAGTGAATATGTACCTACGTATTGTTGTGTTCTTAATTCTACATTGTACAGCTATACACTATACAACGGTACGCGAATGCTGAGGTGTAACATCCGTACAATATACTTAGTTCTGTTCATCTAATCATCATACTGTCAGCCATTTTTTTTTTGTTTGCTTCACTGATTTCTAGTTATGGGTAAAGTTGAAGTGTATCACAAGTCCATTAGCCAATGGATGACTAATCATTCACCTACATTTCAAAATATTTCTTACAATTCTGAATACATTAAATCATGAGAAACTAGCATCAAACATGGTAAATGCTAAATGGTTCCTAGTTTGAAAGTAACAATCTCACTATCTCATCTAACTGGTTACTGAATGCCAGAATACTTTACTGATCTGAATACTCATGCAAAACTCATAACCTTTGAGAGGTTTACAGAAGTGATGATTCAACTAACAGTAGGAAATACATAAGAAATTAGAAAAAGAAACACAAAGGGATCTGAGAGTAATATGAAAGTATAGGAACATGTGTCAACGGACCTCTGCTCCACTCATAGACAATTGTTTCCTAGGACACAAAGAGACTTGCACCTCAACCAAGCTTCAGCGCTGCCATTTGAGTTCACCAGGGGAAACACACAGGCCAGGCACGATTCTTTGAACGCAAGCTCAGGCAACTGAAGCAGAACCTCAGCTTACTTGCAGAGTTGTGGTGGCATTTGCGTTTACATGGATGGCCGTGGAATGCCTTGGGCAGATTTGAATATGCAGTAGTGACTGGCTCACTGCACCAGGATGACACCATGGGTCTTGCACCATCTTTGTCAGACTTTGGCTCATCTACAAGGGTTCCATTTCTTACAGATGAAGAGCGGCATGCTTGAAGTTTGAACGACATCTCAGTTTTCACTAAGGCTTAATTGTATTCCAGCATGTGAACTCAGGAGGTATTATGTTTTCATCACAGGAAATCACAGCTTTGGCAGTCAACTTTCCAACTAAACCATGATACAGAAGACCTCTTGCACCAAGTCCACCAACTAGCCAAAATGTGCAGTTGCTCTTCTTGCCTAGGAAATCATCCAAACAACCCAACAGTGGTAACGACCCATTAGCTGTAAGTGGAGGCATGGCTCGTATTCCAGCTCTTGCACCTACAAAATCCCATTTATTTATTCTTGGATATACGCCAGAAGCTTTTGGGAGCAACTCTTCCATTGCAGTAAGAGATTCTTCATCAGATACAGTTGAAGAATCGTTCTCAGACTTCCATTGCCAAGTTGATCCGATAGAAACAGTTCGAGGACCTTGGAATGCCAGCCATGCATCAGATAAGATTGAAGGGCTTTGACTGCCATACTCTTCTCTGCAGGAAGTATACGCAATATGCATCAATCAGATTTGCCAAACAAATAGTGCAAAAATTTCATTATGCAGAAACTCCTTACACTGTATTGGATGGCAACTGAAATTCAGCGATAACTCCTCTACAGGTCCTAAGAGGCAACTTATTTGCAAGTTCAGGAAGTGAGCGAGCCTTGGCCCCAAGGCAGATGATCACCGAATCATAATTGCCTGCACATGTTTGAAGTGCCTTAGTCATAAAAAAAGTTTCTTACTGCAGTGCAATTGCTTCAAGGAGCCATACAAACTGTCAAATATATGCAATCCATTAATATTTGTAGTTCTGTACCACACTGATTAAGTGTAAGCTGACACTATTAGAGTTTCGATTTAGTGTCATTACTTAAAATGCTTAAGCAGAGACCAAAAATACACTTAAAATGCTTAAGCGGAGACCAAAAATACAAATGTAGTTTTGGAAGCCAAAATGTGAGGGACAATGACACAACAGAAAATACAAGTTGCTGAATATTGAAATATATCCATTGTTCTCACTGGAGACTACCAGAATTTACCTGACAAATGGTGTAGATTATCAACATGTTGCTTGTAAAGCTTGAACTCTTTCTGCTCACTCTGTAATGAGGATGCTTCATCTGCCAGATTTTGGCATGCAGAGAACAGTGCCTGTACAAGCCCAAGGAAGAAATAGATCTGCTTATCAAGGTACAGGCTACAGAGAATGGCAAAACAAGTGACAATGACACAAAGCAAGAAGCAATGCAGAACCTGTAGATATTTCTTAGGGTTGATGTTCAGTGCCAGTGGCATGTAAACTGCGAAGTCAAATGGGGTACACAGCCCAGGGATCAGACGCTGTGCGGCATCAGAATCAAGCAGTTGAAGGCTGCAGCTCTCGAGGCAACTCTGAACATTAGGTTGAAGCAATTAAAATGCAGCGCGAGAAACACAAAAGAAGCACCTTAGCGCATCTGCATAATCTCAATCCAGCAGTACCTCCAGCAATATGTCTGCAGCTTTCTCGGTTGTAGGTGGCCGTACAATTCCCCTGCTCAGTTAGAGACTCCCCTTAAATATATAGCAGGTGGAGGCAAGAAGTGAAGGACTACAGATTACAGTAGCTGCAAAGATGTATGCATTGCCTTCTCCAGATAAGGTTATCATCTTCATTAGTTGTATCTGACCCCGTGGTTCTGTTTGCTTGCTCTGCGCTTCGAAGGAGATCCATGCTCTCTTTCCAGAACTCAGCACCCCTCCAGAGAAGCTTCACTGTAGTTAACAAAGAATTCAAACGCATAACAGAAATGAATTAAGCTGGATGCCAGGTCATTCGCTGAGTAGCCATAGGTGGGGGGTACGAAACCAATGACTTTCAGATGGTTTGGTTGAGACGATGGAGGAAGACCTTTAGGCGAGTAGGGATGGAGAAGCCCTCCCGAGACGCCCGACGCGCCTCCCCCGACGCCATTCTCGTCGTAGATGTCCACCGACACGCGGGAATCCTTCGGGCTATGCTGAAAATTGAAATCGCGCCAGCGTCGATTCAGCCGATTTCTGCTTGTCATAGTACACACAGGGAGGGAGGAGGAAGAGGGGAAGTGGAGGGTGACCTTGAGGAGGTGCCACGCGACGGAGAGACCCGCGAAGCCGGCGCCGAGGACGGCGTAGCGCAGGGGGCGGCGGCCGTGCCCTCCCGCGGGCGAAGGCGAGGGCGAGGGCGAGGAGGCGGTGGCCGCGGTGGCGGAAGCGACAGTTCGCCTGGGGAGCAGACGGGAAGGAGCCGAAGAAAGCGGGGGCAACATGGCGTCCGGCGCTCCGGGCTTGACGAGAAAGCTGCCGGCGGCGGTTCCTGGCTTCCTGCTGCCGTTGTGGAGAGAAGAGCAGTGCGGGTGAGGATTTTTCTTTTTCTTTTTTTCTTTCCTCCTTTTTTTCTGAGGGTTTTTTTTTTCTTTCCTCCTGGGATGGCGGCGAGGATTTTTCTTTCCTCAGCCCGTAGGATTCCCTTCCCGGACCGATTGGGGACGTTTAGTGCGCGGTTAGCAATAAGTATTCGATACTGTAGCACTTTCATTTGTATTTGATAATTATTGTCCAATCATGATCTAACTAGACTCAAAAGATTCGTCTCGTAATTTACGCTCAAACTGTATAATTAGTTATTTTTTATCTATATTTAATACTTCATATATGTATCGAAAGATTTAATATGATGAAAAGAGAGTGAAAAAACTTGGAATCTAAACAAACCCTGGACTTTCCAGGTACTGAATCAGGAAGCCCAGCTATTAAAAGCTCAATGTTCGGGCCCTTTATTTATTGGGCCTTAATGGCCGTCAAGCATCCAGCATTACGCAGGGTAACGTTGATATACTGTATATGTATACTTTTCATATTATATACGAGTAAGCTACAATGCAAAGCATGCAGGCGCGAGGACAACATACATAAAAATATAAAATAGAGTTCATAATACACCTGCCGGTGAATCAGCCACTCGATGAGCATTCTGTCATAAAGTTTGGCCGAGATTAGCGAAACTGGAGTTCGATAGTCTACTGTGCTCACTTAGAGACGTCGCTAAATACATCACGACCACAGTGGTAACTGGTAAATGGTAACAGCCTAACCATTAGAAGGTGCTTTAGAGCGTGAAGTTAGTCCTGTCCGAAGGAGCAGAGGCTCCAGTAACTTGTCCACCTACATGTTTCTCCATTACATTATCGGTTAATCATATTCCTCCACTTATCCTTCAAGTCCACCTACAATACATCATACATACAACCCGTCAGTACCTTGATTGGCAACCCCAGAAACTTCACTGTAATAACCAAGTACCCACCGGTGTTCTGCCGATAAAAACGTCAGGATTGTTATTTAAAATGTCCTTCCAATTGCCACTACCATACCTACACATGAAGCAAGCACAATATAACGATGAGGAACGTACAACAAAAACAATCTAAACACTAGTGTTTTAGAACAAGAAAGCTGAGATGTGAAACGAAAATATCTGAACATCAAGACAAAACATACTGTTCAACACCCTGTCTTAGTGTTTCTTCTTCCAACAAGCACCACTTCCTTGCCCTTCTACGCCTATTTTTGTTTTCTAACGGCGGCAAAGGAGAAACTGGTGCTCTCCTTGGGCTAGGCAAGTGCGGTCTGCGTAATGATGATTCTGAACTCTCAGGACCAGGTGACTCCTCCCACTGCAAACAAGTGTTTTCTTTTCAGAAACATGACCAGAATCTAACATTTTGCGATTGTGATAAAGCTATCCTATGGGCTAACTAAAAAGTTATGAGGTATCTTCATTGAGCTTAAATTAGACTACAGTAAGTATACGTTTGAGTGTAACACAAAGAGGGACTGTAGTAGAGCATTCATGATCCGAAATCCAATTTCAGCAGCTACCTTACTAAAGTGAAACAAAATCCTACAACTACTAGGTTTTGTGACCCCATTTGATTATTTCTTGTCATGGTCAGAGCATCTTACCAAGAACGCATATATCCTCAAAATATTTCACAACACATATCATCCAGATTTTGCAGAAAACATAGGGAATGTAGGCAGGAGCAGAAAGTTGGCAATGTCTTTGTAATGAAAACTATCAATAGAGAAATGAATGAAATGTACACACACAATGTTTAATGCAAAATATTGACATGATATAGGCACTGGTATCATTTTCAATCACAATGGAAACAAAAGCTAGTTATTACAATCACAAATTCAATTTAACAATCATAGCAAGTTCAGTATGGGCAAAGTTCAAAAGCAAAGATAACTCTTTCAAAAACAAATGCTCACCTGAAAGGTCCGTGCTGTTGGGTTCCAATCCATAAGGTTATGAGGTTTACCTGTACTTGGACCCTTGTCTTTATAATTAGGAGCACTCGGGCCTGCAGTGCCACAAGTTGTTGGCTGGCCTCTTACTTCAGCATTCAAACTAACGCCTTTCTCCAACCTTGCAGCCAATACCTCATCTGCAACTGCCTTCGCAGCTGGAAGCGGATCCTCCACAACACTGTGAAGGTCAGCACAGCTTGTTTTGAGCGCGTCAATCGCCTTCTCAACAGCTGGTGTTGAAATTGGATTTGTACTGGAGGTAGGTTCTTCAAGTTTGCCGAGAACCTCACGTGTATTTTCTTCCCCAGCTGTAAATTTCATTTCATATAATCAATTACAGGCTATGAAGGCCATGACCTTGTGAACACCAGAATCACAACAAATTAGAAAAGTAAAACATCTAGCATCTAACAATGCACATAAAGACCTAGAGCTGGCCCAAAAGAGATGAAACCCAAACTGCTCTATATGGAATGCATAGAATTGCAAAATCAATAAGAAGCATAGATGCAAACAAACAAAAAGATACTCCATGTTCCAAATTATAAGACGTTTTGGCTTTTCTAGATACATCGCTTTTACTATGTGTCTAGACATAGTGTATATCGAAGTGCATAGCAAAAACTATGTATGTAGAAAAGCCAAAACGTCATAATTTGGAACAGAGGGAGTACTAAAATAACTGACGTGAGTGGTATAAAGCCATTAAAATATTGTAGTGACACCGTCAAAAGTATTCACAAGATTAAAATTATGTAGCTTGATCTATGATAAACAAAAAACTAGAAGCAGAAAAATTAGCAAGTACACTCCAATTACCTGTTTAGGATAGCTTCAACTCATGATTGTTTCAGAGATAACACTTTAAGGCAAACAGATTTCTAGACCAAGATGAATATGACCTCTAAATCCCAACTCAATGTTCCCTTTTTTTATTATATTATATCACTAAAAAAAGACATGAAAGCCCCACTACACGCTAGTTCCTTGATTTGCACCACAGACAAAGCAATCTACTCAAATCACAATGCTGCAACAAAATTCAATGTGCAACGAGTATGTTGCTTGTATATAAACTTACATCTGTGCTTCTCGTACACTATCTAGGTTATCTTCTCTGGCATGGGCAAAATTATAGCATCGTGACTCATCCAATCCAGAGGCTACCAACAAATTTACTCATCAAACCACAATGCCCTGGAAAGCACACACCAAAAAACAAAAATCCTCACCCAAAATGCAGAACTTGGCACGGGTGGACTCATCAGCGGCACGCCATTTCTCGACGGCCCCATCCCCAACGATCCGCTCAGCCGCCGCAACGAGCAGCGACGGCCCAATCGCAGCCCACTCGGCGGCGAGGAGCTCCCTGACCCGCTCCTCCGTGGCGGACCGGTCGCCCCACAGGCCCCTGAGGACGGTCTGAGAGAATGAGTTCCCGACGGCGGCCTCGAACTGGTCCACTGTGGCGATGACCTCATCGGAGGCGAGCGCGGGGGACCCTCCCTCGTCGACTGCGAGGCGCGCGCGGCCGTCGGGGCGCGCGAAGAGCGCCCTCGCGGCGGCGTCGAAGTCGGACGCGGAGGCCGCGATGAAGGCCGCGACGGCGATGTGGGCGGCGGCGATTGGAGAGGCGGGGGCGGGGAGCGAGGCCAGGAGCTGGAGCGTGTCGAGAGAGGATTCGGAGACAGGGTCGGCGGCGAGGCGGCGGAGGAGGACCGCGCGGCGGAGGCGCGGGGTCGGGTCGGAGGGGAAGGGGAGCGCGGCGAGGAGCTTGTCGACGGCGGCGGCGGGGACCGAGTGGTCGCCCAGGACGTGGTCCAGGATGAGCCTCGCGCCCGCCGGCGTCATCCGCGGCATTTTGGTGGCGCTACGTGCGGATTGGAGACGCCGCGGCGGGGATTCGAGCAAAGTGGGCGGCAGCTTTCTGAGGCTTTGGCCTTTTGGGGCCGAGCATCTCCAGCAGCCCCAGATATATCAACTCTAATATTCTGGCATCGAAAGGGCCCTATTTTTATTTTTATTTTTAAGGTTATTTGATTGAAGAGGCCAAAAAAAAATAGATCCCAAATTTCATCGTAGTATATTAGCCAGTCTCGTAAGATGTAAGTAGATTCGTCATAATCCATGTGTGCTGAACACACATCGATTAAACTGAATATATACGTATTTAAAATAAGGAAATTACTACCGTGCAGACGTTCGAATGCTCGCGACGGCTGCACCCCAGTGCTCCCGCGCTTCCTCCGCTTCCCGCGTCTGCAGTCGCGCACCACTCCATCCCTCTGCTTCCCAGCAGCGGTAACATGTGGCTGTAGTAGACGAGTCACATTACAACATATACAACACATAATTTACTTTTGAAATATTCAGATAAAACATTTACAACATGCGTTTGAAGACAGGTGAAACTCTTGAAACATACATCTAAAACACTTGCACAAATAACTAAAACACTTAAGGGCCGTTTGGATCACGGGATTTTCATAGGAAATTTAAAGGAAACCAAAACAAAGAAAAGAAAACGAAAATTGCTGTTTGGAACACAGGAAAGCACCCCTTCCTTTCCTATGGAATCCTGTAGCCTCTTCACAATTTCACAGGAATGGAAACATCCACTCCATTCGCTGGTTTTCTCCAACACAGTTGGAGAACGGGTGATTAGCAAGGACAAAATGCAATGCGAGCTTGCTCCCGCCAGGCATATGCTGTCATACGTCCATACCACTCGAAGTTACAGCTCATGGACACGAGCTCCTATCCATTAAAAAGTAAGAATAAAAACAAAACAACCACCGTGGATATTAATTAGTCTTTTATTATGTGTTTTTATAAAGATCATCATTATGCGTTAAGTAATGTTTATCTATCATATGCTTTGCAATTCCTGTGTTACAAATTTCTTGTTCCAAACGCCTCCTACTATACCTTTCTTGCGTTTTTCCTTTACTTAGTTTTGCCACTACGCTTACCTTCCTTTTCTACGTTTTTTTCTATTCCTATCTTTTTTATTCCTTTATTCCAAACAGGCCCTGAAAAGCCATTGCAAAACATATGCAACATCCAGATAAAAACACTTAAAACATATGTGTGAAACATATGCAACGTCCAAATAAAAATAATTGCAACATACGTCTAGAAAAAAAACATATGAGATATTTAAAACAGACGCTTGCAACATATGTGTATAACCATTGCAACATATGTGACATCCCGATCTACTTATGAAACATCCATATGAAACACTTGTAACATACCTCTGAAATAATTAAAACATATGTTTGCAACGTAGGGAGAGAGACCAGGGTCGGTCGATTCTAGCTGTCAGGGTGGGAGCCTGCGGTCGCGGCGGTGCACGAGCACCACCAGTATCGGACGCGCTCGTGGGTCCCCTTGGCTTGGCCAGGGATGAGCTGAGGTGCCTTGGCATGTGCGCCCAGACACCATTGGCACGGGCAGCGGCAGCGGCGGCGGCCCGTAGCGACGAGGCATCCCAACGGGGCTAGGTCGGGGAAGAGGCCGAGGAGGCGCTGCACGAAATGAGGGAGGAAGCGGTGTGGTCGACTTGGGTGGAGAAAGGAGGCAACGGTGGCGGCACGAGAAGGGTGAGATGGAGCGGGAAGATTTTTTTCTTGAGAGAAGCGGACAAGGCAGAGGGGGCGGACACGGACCGATGGACGCCCATGTCGAAGTATTTTCATTTAATCAAGGTCTGAATTCAGCCCAAACTGACCTAAACCAATCCAAGCCTAGCCCAAATCTAACACTAGCTGTGCTCTGAACTGGTGGATCATAGTGGATAGCTGAGATGTCGTTCTCTTCCCTCGTAGAACTCTATCCTCTTCTCCTTTCTTTGTTACGCGCTTAGAACATCTACAACGGTTCCCCAATAGGACCCCAATCCCCATAAAACTGTCATATTGGGGAAGATGAGTTAAATTTCCTACTCCAGCAGCACCCCAATATGGTCCCCTTTTTTGTGGCCACCAAAAAAACACCCCATCTCCCCTCAAATAGAGGGGGAGTTGCATCTCCCCCAAAAACAGTGGGGCCCACCTAACTGTCATCTCCTACCCTCGTAAGACACCCGACCAACAGAGCCCCCATGGCACGGCGGCGGTGGCGGGGGATGGACATGGGCGCGGCGGGGGCCGTGGATGGACGCGGCAGCAGTCTGGAGGAGGCGATGCATTGGGGCCCCACGTCATGCGCTAGCTCGTCCACGACAGGCCACCGTCGTCCTCTTGAGTCACATTTAACACCCTTCCAAGTCCTATGGGAGACCCAATGGGAAAGGCTATTACCTTGGACGCTAGATTTGAAGGAGAGTAGCGCATTACGATCGGCGCCAGCCGGTTCCGTTGCAGAGACATGGCAGGAGCTGACAACGGCAACGGTGATGGTTACGAGGGCAAGGAATTTGGCCATTGCAGAGAATGCAAAAGAGGAACTAAAGACTGTAGTAAGTATTAGCTTTGTTATCTGGATTTGTGGAAAGCAAGCTCTAGAGATGGAGATCCTTAGCTTTAGTTGCTTGTAGCTGTGAACAAACACTACGCCCCCTGTGATTTAAATAGGAGAGGGAGTGCGTGGGTGATATCTACGTAATTGCCATTATATGGACTTTAGTGCGTTGATCATTAACCAAGTCGTGGGTGATATCTAATTAACATTATGTGGACTTCAGTACGTTGACCACTAACTAAAAGGGTAGGCAGCATGCACGTATTACTTAGAAAAAATAGAATTGTTGCGCCTTCCAGAAGACCTTAGCATGAAGAAGATCTCTATAGATATCTCTCAAACTGAGTATTACCTTTTAGGGTAAAGTCTATTTTCAATGGATAGTTAACATTTTAAGAAGAAAATTAGAACCATTTTCATAATTTTCTGGTTTAAAATAAACTAACCGTGGATTTTTATAGATCAATCCATATTTTTATTATTTTTTTTAAAAGATAGCCACATTTGAAATCTGCTAGATGATCAAATTTGTTCGGTTTCGATAGTTAGAGGGTTCCTATTATCCAAATTCGTAGTTTAGGGTTGAAAATCAGACTAACATATAACTTGAAGGTTAAAAAGTATACTTTAATCTACCTTTTATATTGTACTTATAATATAACAGTAAACCATAGAGGAATCGAAAACACAACACAAACTTCATCGCAAACATACACCAAACAGGATAAGCATATATATGTTGCTCATGTGTTCATATTCTAACATAGTACTCAATGTAAAAACTTTATCCTTTTGTGGTAGACATTACTTTGCATATTTTCCCATCCCCATTCATATGTTTTTTCCCTATAATGCATCACCTTGTGTGTTCTACGTGTATTTGGATTGGTTGGAAATTTAGCAATATAATTGAAGCTTAGATTTATCTCCTTTTGTTGCTAGTTTGTAAATGTGTCATTTACGTGGTGTGTTGTAGCCTAAGTGCTACTTCGTCTGTAACATTATTGGGCTGCATGTACTCAGCGATGAGTGCAAAGGCCAGATTATGTTTTCCTTTATATTAGAAACGGAGGTACTAGCGTCCAGACATCCGGCGCCAGCAGCGCGTCCAGATGCAGCTCAACCAACCGAATTGTGGGCTGGCATCGTGGACTACCAAAAGGACCATCCCATCTCAGCGTCCCGCATAACAGAAAACTGAAGGGACCGAAGCACTACCTACCCGCATAACAAAAGGGGAGAGCGTGCGCTCGCGTTCGCGTCGCGGGATGGCGGCGCGCCCCCTCCATCGCCCCCCGCCGTGAACCCTCCACAGGGATGGCAACGCGTCCCCTCCATCAGCCCCGCCGTGACCTCTCCACAGCCTGAGAAAGATGCAAGGCAGCAAAAGGCGAGGAGGAGACACCAAGACGAGGCAATAGAAGGCGAGGAGGGAGATGCAAATCCGATCTATTTTTAAAACATCCAAATACAACACTTGCAACATACGTTTGAAGACAAATGAAACACTTGAAACATGTGTCTGAAAAAACATTGCAACATATACGCAAAATTTAGATAAAACACTCGCAACATGCATATGTGTGAGTGAAATATATGCCACGTCCAGACAAACACACTTGCAACATACATCTGAAAAAAACAGATGAAACATTGGGAACAGACATTTCAACGTACATGTACAACCATTGCAACATATAACATCCCGATCTACTTTTACAAATTCCATACGAAACACTTGCAAATACTTTTGAAAACATCTGAAACACTTAAAACATACGCTTGCAACATGTGTTTTCAGCATAATATCACCTTACTGTTTGGACGAATGGAGCTCGTGGTTGTGGAGCTCCATGCCAATCTTGGTGGAATCGAACGTCTCACAAATTCTAACGGCATCTGAATTTGCTCTACGGGCCTACACATGGAGCTCAATGTTGTGGCGCCTACAAGTGCCGGCAGCCGAGCCTCACCGTTACAAACGTTAGCAGCGGCTGAAAACTGTCCAAAGTTGACGACGACAAAGAAAGAAAAAAACATCAATCGTGTGCATCAAATAAGCTTCACACCATGTGCGCAAGGCCACGACACCCCTAGCAAGGTGATGGTAGGGCGAGCACTGTAGCCTTCCTTTTTTTCGTCGTCTTTTTTTATCGGCGCGCATGGATTGGGAGGAATGCTGCGTGGTTGGGAGGGTCATTTGCATATGCAACGTCAAAGAGGGGGGGGCGGACAACCATTGTAACAGAACCGACCAAAGTGCGTGGCGCGAGGATGGGGTCGCCAACCTACAAACCAAGATCGATCTCGTGGCGGCGAGAGAGGTTTCATAAAATATTACAAACCAAGGTGCGGTGAAGCCGCATGCCAGCGAATGGGGAATTTCTGTTTTTTTAAGAAAAGGTCGCTGGTAGTGATGGAGGGGAGCAGGCCCGTTGTTTTGTTGGACCGGATCGCTGCGCTAGGCCTAGAAACGGCGTGTCTAGACGTATGCCCTCACCAGAGCATTAGCCTATTAGAAAAGGAGGGCATTTCCATCTTCACGCATGCGAACGACGACATCAGAAACTCGACAAAACGGTCAACCACGGTTGGGACAGGGCATGATGGAGGTGGCCCTATAGTGGGACATCCGTGGATGTTACATCGTGGATTAAGCCCGATAGTTGTCCAAAGTGGATTGAACTACTGACAACGAGATCGGCCGTAAACATTGGGTATCCCCGTTAAGTGGCTAAGACGACACGGCAACATGACCAGCGTGGTCTCCGCGCACCAGCCTCCGGTGCAGCACGACGATAAAAGCAACTGCACGATACAAAGTGAAACAAGGATTTAGGTTGCTCAGAGCATCTTCAAGAGACTCTTCATATTCTTTTTAAATGCTCGGAATAGATATTTTAGTGAAAAACTATCCTCAACAGCTTTTCTAAATGATCATCTAAATATAGTTATCTTCTATTCTGGATTTTTTGTTAGCCAAAAATAGAAAATGAGAATGACTCTCTAGAGTGCGCATAAGATATAGAAAGATTGTTGGAGAGTGAAAATATATAAAAACTGGATTTTATGCAAATGACTCTCTAAATGATGATTTAGAGAGTGAGATTTAGAAATGCTTTTGTTGATGCTCTCACAGCAAAGGTCAGCCTAGCTACTTCATCAGGCAGATTTTCATTCACAGATAGAAGAGCTCCAGGTCATTGATAGTCTATAGGAGTAATAATAACTCCATGCTCTTCTTGTCAAAAAAAACCCCCTTCATGCTCTATCCTGTTCTCTGCAGATGTTCTATCCTGTCATAACAATCGGATTCTTCGGATCCTTAGCATATGATCTATCCTGTGTCCTCTGCACGCGCCGCAATGGTGGAATTGTTGGATCGTCCGAAGTCAGCAAGTGCTTCTCATGCTCTGAAAGGCGTAGTTTGGAGTTCTGAACGTCTCACAAATTCTAACGGCATCTGAATTTGCTCTACGGGCCTTCTCTCAAATCTCAATCTCTGGTGTGCATTCCCTTCTCAACCTGATTGTGGTATCACCAGAAATGTTGTATACTCTTACAATCTGACATGATCGATCCTACAACTACGAGCCAAATTGTTGCCGGCAGCAGCTAGCAGCGGCTGAAAACTGAAAGTTTCCTCAACACCAGTCGAGTTTATTTGTTATCTTCCAACCATCAGAAAGAAAGAAAAAACATCAATCGTGTGCATCAAATAAGCTTCATTCCAAGATTCTCAACAAGCTACCATTAAGTTACAGAAAAAACCGATGCTTTGTGCAATTGTGCGTTATAATTTCAGCGTAGCAGACACTGCTATGCAACAACACACATATTGACAGACACAATAAAAACAAGGTTACCCACCTATACTCTCTGCTATATCAATAGAAGCAGCTCAGTCCAAAAAGAAAACAAAAAAAAAATGACAGACAATCAACGCTTCACAGTTAGCCTTCCTTTTTTTTCGTCGCTTTTATGTTAGGACGAGGGTGCTTGGATTTGTTAACCAACTCGAAGTTCAGTCATTTGTCTTGTTCCTCTTGACTGACACGGCATTACGTCGCGTTAGACACGTCCGGTTCCACCACAAAACAGAAGACGCCGTACCATAATTTTGTCATTTGCGGGCAACCATCACAGTCCAAAAGAGACCGTACCACAATTTTGTCATTTGCGGACAACCATCACAGTCCAAAGAGTACAAACGTGGCGAGTTACATTTGGATTGTACTCCTACCGCACAAAGTTCACAACTTTGCGGTCACTCTGCTTGTTTTCTGTTGAAACGCTCCACTCATGACGAAACTTCAACCTCTTCTGCACCTCCAAGTGAGACGGCACAAACAGCACTTCTTTTCCACGGCACTGGTACATTAACACGGACGAAAAAGAAATCGTAATGCACGAGTCGACGAGAGCGCATGAGCATCACTCGCCAACCGCTCCCGTAACACCTCATGTACTGATTGATCTACATGCTCACGGCTCTCTTACACTACGCTGTACTACCATATATTTCCACGATCCATGCCAAAAGCAAGACAGGAAGCATCAACCAACCACCGACTCTATAAGCATGCCACATTCTCCTATCTTTCTTCAACTTATTCATGTACAAAACCCAGCTAGTCATGGCACCTCCTCGGTTTGAAGACTGAAACAGTCTGCTAAACAGAAGGGCGCCAGAGGCAGAAGGCTAAAGCATCTATTTCGATTGTTGTTGTGCCTTGGTAGGAGCAGCCGCCGCCATGGCGCGCAGGCTCTTGCCGACCTCGGTGAAGCTCGGCCTCTCCGAGGGTTCAGCTGACCAGCACTGCTCCATCAGTGACCTCCACTGGGGATCACAGGGCTCGGGCACCGGAGGTCGCAGCGTGTTATTCACGATTCCACCTGAGTGAAGTTGGCAGAAAGTTCAGGGACAAGAATGGCATTGGATTCCCCAAGTATGTAAGATATAATAACAGCATAAGTTATGCGCTACCTATAATGGCACCATAGTGCAGCTCAGCGTAAGGTTCTTCACCCGTAAGTAGCTCCCACATCACAATGCCGAACGAGAAAACGTCAACCTACATCCAGAGAATGTGATGGTCACCCGGGGAACAGGAACATATTCCTCCAGACGCAGGTCAAAGAAAAAGGAGTGCACACATTAGGCCAAAGGGTGCAACGGAACCAAACCTTATCAGAGACAAGGCTGCTGCCGCCATTCAACAACTCAGGGGCCATCCAAGGAAGTGTTCCTCTTACTCCACCAGAGATTAGAGTCTGACATTTGACCTTTGATAATGCCAAATCACCAACCTACAAAAATAGGAAGGTCATCCTCATGTCCGAGCGCAACCAAGAATATCAGAGATGCTTAAAACCTTGCACGTTGTTCTGCTAGTGCTGGAACCAACAATTCTCTAAAGAATTACATCCTTGGTATGGCAAGAGTCGAAGACATTTCTCACATTCAAAGATTGCACGTTCTATAAAATAAATATAATATTGTGCTCCATAAACACATTCATCCATATGAGTGGGAGTGTGCTTTTGATTAATATACAAGTGAAAAAAAGATTGGACCTTACTTAGTCACTTGCTGCCTTAAAGAAAAAAAAACTACACATTCAAGTATAAGCATAAGATACAAGTGCATTACTTCACTGGCATAAGTTATTAAGGGTTCTGATCTAGTTTACTGTGCATGCACAATTAGGGGGGAGGGTGTTTATGAAGATAAGCACCTTGCATATAGGCCGTTGAGGATCCCTTAGGTTGACAAGCAGATTGTCACTCTTCAAGTCGAAATGCACTATATTCTTCCCATGGAGATATTCCATTCCAAATGCAACATCCATGGCAATTAATAGACACCTACGCCGATCAAAGATCCTGCTGATAGAATAAGATGAGCTTAGAGTTGTCATCATATGAAAAGCATTATGTTGGCATTGAAAGGAGTAGTATACTTCTCATGTCTTTGCAATGCTTGTCGGAGTGAGCCATTAGCCATGTACTCCGTTACCGTTGCAACAGATCCACCAGGTCCATCTAGAACAACACCGTAGAATGCTACTACGTTTGGATGGTGCAAAGATGCAAGCTTGCCTGCCTCATTCCAGAAATCAGTCCTCTACAGACAAAAGAAAGGTTAGAACATGGTGGAGTCAATTTAAAACAAAACATTTCATACCATACGCTCTTGCTCAGATGCCTTCCCAGCAAAACATCGATCGTTGATTCTCTTTATAGCAACATCCGAACCCCTCCACTTTCCATGGTAAACAGTACCAAAGGTTCCAGAACCCAGTTCACGCAATTCTTCAAGGTCACTGTTCTTTATTATCTGTTATCAACAAAGTGGAGAATAAGGACAACACATTTAAAATTTCGCATAAAATGTGGAAACCAATAATAGCTAGACAAAAACCTGAAGGTTATCGATGTCATCTAAAACTTGAACCCCCTGGCTTGTTTTGTCTGACTGATTATTCCCTTCATCCTGAACCCAAAAGTAAACCAAAAGATTACAACCAACCAAAGAACAATGATTTAGGCCAGAGAAGATAGAAACATCTCCCACCTGAACTTTAGCATCAACTACTGCTCCATGTGAATCAATGTGATCCCCAGAGAATGCAGCTGGTTTTTCAGGAAAGGGTGGCTGAAGAACTGATGCTGCTACCCCTTCAGCAACAGCTTGTAATTGTCGCTTAATATTATCTTCTCCAAATCCTTTCAGAAGTAAAAGAAGTATGAAAGAGAGAGGCAGAGGAATTGTTGCTTAGTCCATTATGATTTTGAAATAATATGATAGTAAGTAATACTGCCCAAATAGTATAGGATGACAGAGCGTACCAACCTTTGTTCAATTTAACTGTGTGGATATCCTTAAAACTTGGGTCTTCTTCAAAGAGTACGGCAGCATGTGTGTTCATATCAGGCATATGGCCATCAGTATATTGACCTCCAGAAACAACAGGCTCCTTAGTTAACTTGCTTGGTCTTGGAGGCACTAAAGAAGTATTGCCCACTGCTTTCCAAGGATCCTGATTTGAGAAAAGTGAATCTGTGTAAGCTGGTTCTTGTGTAGCTTCAACAGGATCAATTCCAACAGTAGCCTGCAATGAAAATTTACTGCTTCCATTGGGAGGAGCAGAAACCAAGTGATTGGGCATTTCCTTGGGATGCTGTAGGGGAGGCCCAGCAGGAACCTGAGCACCAGAGTTAGGTGGTTGCACAGTAAACTTTTCATTAGAAACAGGTGGTTCAATCAGAACTCTAAGGTTGCTCTGGACAGGCAGATTGGGTGGTCGCTGGATTATGTCAGGATGGACATTTTGTGCACCAACATCAAAAGCATAAGGTGGCTGCTCACTGTGCCTGGCAATGCTGTCCTCTTGGGTCAAAGAAGGAGCAGTAAAGGCATTTGTAATCCCCATATGATACCCTCCAGCTTGAGATTTGTAGATAGAACTACCATCAATATTTACAGGTGGCTTCCCAACTTTGGCATGATCAATGACACCATGAGGAATAGAAGGCTTTCCATGCACACTAGATTCTGGTGGTGCAATAGGACCCAAAGGAACTGCTTGCATTCGTGCATCAATAGCTCTGGCATAGTCATGAGGAAGATCTGCATATTCTCTAAGCGGTTCCGCTGCTGGATGATTTGAATCCTTGTATGCACTGGCATCAATGCCTTGTGAGCCATTCACTGGAACTTGTGGTGGTTGCATGCTATAAGAGAACGGTTGCTGCTGGTACCTGATATGATCTTCAGCCCCAGCCGGAGGAGAATGACCCACAAATACTCCATTTGAAGCAGGTGCACTAGACACTGGTAAAGCAATCATGGTGGGTTGAACCGGCACACCTGTATCTGGAGATGTAGTTGCCTGGACTGCAGGTTTTCTGGCAGGAAGAGTCGGATCAAATTGTGTTATCACTGCTGTGTTCCCAGCTCTTGGTTCCGCCAGATAGTTCGTGGGTGTTCCTGAGCTTGCACCTGGACTAGATTTGTTGGATGCACTGTCTTGATGCGGACTGTAAAACACTGGAGCTGCCTCAAGGTTGCCCGTTGCACGAGAATTTCCCTGCTCCCGGATAATATTATCCGAATGGGCATGTGGCAATGCTTTTTGGCACATTGTGCAATCATCATACCTCAACGATGGAACAGTGGCCGAGCTAATCACCACAGGAATTGTGCCTGAGCTGGTCACCACTGGCATGCTTACTGCACTTGTCATCGCTGGTTGAACACCAAATCTCTGCCTCTGCGCATCATTTGTCTGCAGATGCACAGAAGACAAAGGAGGAAGCTGCGACAGTGGAGTCTGCACCACACGGTAACTCTGATCAACCTGAGCTTGCACTGGCCTTGTGAACTGCGTGGTCTCCAGAACAGGTTCTGCACCAGCGGAAGCAGGCCTGAACGTACCGACTTGAGCAGCAGTGGTCGCCATAGAACCCGTCGCAGGAATGCTGGGCATGAATTGGCTCATTTGCACAGGCACATAATTGACAGATTGTGGCACCCCATGCACACCAAATTGTTGGGCGTTGATGTAGTGTACCTGCTGCGGCTCTATATACGACTGCGGCATCTGCTGCACATAAGAAGCAGACTGAGGCTGCTGGTGTGGTACATAATGGGTGAGTTGAGGCTGCTGCTGGTGCTGCTGCTGCACATAAGTGGTTACTTGACGCGGCTGATGCGGTGTTGCATAAGCAGCAGCAGCAACCTGATGAGGCTGCAACGTTGACGGCTCTGTCCTAACCAGGATGGGATTTTGAGCCGGGATGCCCATCGCCGAAGGTGACACCGAGACTGCAGCGAACCCAACCGACTCCGGGAAAGCACTAAGGTAATGGCCCCCACCTGAATACGAATACTCAGTAGCGACGGACGCAGGCGGCGGCACCGCCCGCGGCGACATACCTTCCACCAGGCCGCTATACTCGGATGCCTCGGAGTTGTGCGCGGAGGAACCGGCACTGGCGACGCTGTCCTTGCGCCGCATGGCCGCGGCCATGGCCTCCGCGGAGACGCAGTTGATGGCGTCGATGTACCGCTGCCCGGACTCGTCCACCGCGGCGGCAGCGAGGTTGTGGGGCCCCGAGCCGCCGCCGGAGCCGGAGCCGGAGCCGCCGGCCGCGTCGGTCCCGGACCCGGAGGCCGGGAAGAGGAAGAGCCGGAGCTTGGCGGAGCCGTCGGGCGCGGCGGCGGCCAGCTTCTCGTACTCCTCCATCATGTTGTCGTAGTCCTCCGGGCCGGAGACGGAGATGAGCGAGTCGAGGTCCTCCCCGGGGAGCTGGTACCTGACGAGCACCCCGCCGCCGGAGGACGCCGAGGCCTCGTCCACCGCCTCCACCTTCCGCAGGAGCTCCCCGAAGGAGGCGGCGCGCGGGACGGAGATGAGCCGCGTCTGGCCGCCCACGTACCGCAGCGCGCCGTCCCCGGGCCGCGGCGCGATCCGGCCCCCGTAGCTGCACATCAGCTTCACCTTCCCCGCACCGGACGCCGCCTCGTCCTCGCCGCCGCCCCACGCCCTCGCGCTCGGGCTGCTGGGGTCCCCCGCCGGCGCCGGCGCCACCACCCCGGCGGCCCTGCTCGCCATCGCCATCACCGCCGGGGTTTCCGCCGCTCGCGCGCACCGCCTGCTCGGCGAGGGCGCAACAGAATCCGAAACGCAGGGGCCGGGAGAGGGGAGGAGGAGGAGGCCGGAGGCGCGACGCGAGTCTCGCGCGGGGGGTTTTCCTTCCTTCCCGCAATCCCCACTTGCCTTGCCACTCTCTCGCTCGCTCGGTCGGCCCCGGACGCGCGCTGCACGGCAGGAGGCTGGCTCGGCTCCACTACGGCGGCACCGAAACGAATCGCGGAATCGGCGGTGGGAAACGGGCGGTGCGGGGGATAAGTTCTCCGGGGCCCTCCCGGACCTCCACGCTGCCAGCACGTTCGTTTGTTTGGTTTTTAGTTAGGGCTGATCAGTTAGAGCTAATACTATTTTTTTCTCATGATAAATTAGTATGGATTTATCGGTTTAGAAACCCATCAGCGAACGGACTCTGCGACTTGTCTAACAGGCGCGCTTTGCTTTGGCCGTGACCGTGACCCACTAACCTCGCTGTCCCGTGCGCTGGTTGGATTTTTAACAACGGTTTTAACGCTTTTGGTATCGCGACGCGGGCACGCGACTCCCGTGTCGCATCGAACGGTTGGGCTACTCCCAATAAAAAAATCACCGTAGTTTTATGGATATTAATTGTACTACCATCTAAGCGTTTTGCTGATATGGCAAGGTAGCTATTGGAGGGAGAGAACAAAAATCATTGAAACCGGATCTAAGTTAGAAATCATGTCTACACGAGAACCAGGACACGAAGGAATATGATAGGTAGAGATTGGAAAGAGAATGTATGTGATTGGATAAAAAAATGTTCTATGAAAATTATCCATTAGGATCCTGGTTTTTATACGTGATGTCTATAAAAATTAATAGATATAAACATTGGGACTATCCTTAGGCGGCTAAATATCTTGTTCAGTTCGGCACCACGTTGCTAAACACGTGACTCGTCGTATTTAGCGCAGGGTATGTACCGTCATACGCTGACAGCATGCTGTTTCGTAATCGATTAACTCCGCTAGAAGCTGACCAACGGTTCCAGGTGAGTTACGAACCATGAGCTAGTGATTAATCCGGCAAATTATATTGGTTTGGTTCGGCACGACGTAACTAAACACGTGACGCGCCGTATCTAAAGCATGGTACGTACCGTCACAGACAGCGCGCTTTTTTCTAATAGATTAACTCCGCTACAGGCTAACCAACGGGTCCCACGTGAGTCCCAAACCACGAACTAAATATCTCGATTTGGTTTGGCACGACGTTGCTAAACACTTGACGCGCCGTCGTATCTAGCGTAGGGTACGTACCGTCACAGGTTGACAGCGCCCTGTTTCATGATCGATTAGCTCCACTAGAGGCTGACCAACGGGTCCCAGGTGAGTTCGGACAACGAGCAAGAGATTAGGTCGGCAAATATCTCGGTTTGGTTCGGCACGACATTGCTAAACACGTGCGCGCCGTATCTAGCGCAGGATATGTACCGTCTCAAGATGACAGCATGCTGTTTCGTAATCGATTAACTCCGCTAGAGGCTAATCAATGGGTCCCACGTGAGTCTCGAATCAAGAGCTAAACATCTCGGTTTGGTTCAGCATGACGTTGCTAAACACGTGACGCACCGTATCTAGCGCAGGGTATGTACCGTCACAGGCTGACAGTGTGTTGTTTCGTAATCGATTAACTTCGCTAGAGGTTGACCAAAGGGTCCGACGTGAGTTCCGAACCACGAGCTAGAGATTAGGCTGGCAAATATCTCGATTTGGTTCGGCATGACGTTGCTAAACACATGACGCGTCGTATCTAGCGCAGGGTATATACCATCATAGGCTGATAGCGCACTGTTTCGTAATCAATTAACTCTGCTAGAGGCTGATCAATGGGTCCCACGTGCGTTCCGAACAACAACTTAGAGATTAGGCCAACAAATATTTCGGTTTGGTTCGGCATGACATTGCTAAACACGTGACGCGCCGTATCTAGCGTAGGGTACGAACTACCATAGGATGACAACGTACTGTTTCCGTAATCGATTAACTCCACTAGAGGATGACCAATGGGTCCCACGTGAGTTTCGAACCACGCGCTAGAGATTAGGCTGGCAAATATCTCGGTTTGGTTCGGCACGACGTTGGTAAACACATGACACGCCATATCTAGCGCAGGGTATGTACCATCACAGGCGATAAGCGCACTGTTTCGTAATCGGTTAACTCCACTAGAGGCTGATCAATGGGTCCCTTGTGAGTTCCGAACAATGAGCTAGAGATTGAGCCAACAAATATCTTGGGTTTGGTTCGGCATGACATCGCTAAACACATGAAGCGTCGTATCTAGCATAGGGTACGGACTGTCATAGGCTGGCAGCGCGCTGTTTCGTAATCGATTAACTCCGCTAGAGGCTGACCAACGGGTCCCACGTGAGTTCCAAACCACGAGCTAGAGATTAGGCAAATACATTGGTATTGTCTCGTAGATAGTTACATGCACTGGCAGAGTTAGAATTTTTATGGAGTCAGGGCGAGTTAAAACACCATTCTAATAGTAAGGTCACTTCAACAAAGAAATCATTAATTAGGATATCAACTAAGTAAAAAGATGATGTGACACTGTAATTAAAAGAGAGAATGAAATTATTTTTTAATAAGAAACCATGTCTATACGGGAACTAAGATATGAAGAGTTGTGAGAGGTAGACGAGGTAGAGAAAAGATATATCATTGAATAAAAGATTATTGTGTAGAAACTATCCAATAGGAATATACTCCCTCCGTAAAAAAAAAAAAATACGCTATGAGATGCGTGATGGTCAAGCTTTCTTAAATTTGACTAACTTTATAGAAAATATTATCAACATTTATATTACTAAATAAATTTATTAAGAAAATATATTTAGAGATTTATCTAATGATACCAGTTATGTATTATAAATATTAATATTTTTTATATATAATTGTCAAAGTTAAAAAGTTTTACTTCTTGAAAAGTAAAAATGACATTCTTTGTGGAACGGAGAGAGTAGTTTCTACGTATACTGTCTACATAAATTAATTGACATAGAAACTATCTATGGTTTTTTAGTATTGTTAGTGCTCTAACAAAGCTATGTAAAATAGGGCACATAATTATATAATATACTAGCAAAATTAGACAATCAAAGTAGTTTTAAATTTTATAAACTAAAATAATCACCAAGTCCTAGGCGGCGCCTGCTCCCTACCTCATCTCTGTGTAGCTTTTCTTTTTTAGATTTATTTAGAAACAGCTTTTCTTGTTGAGTAGGGTCTGTACATAGCTTTTTTTTTTTTTTTGAGGGAAGTTTGTACGATAGCTATGATTAACTATTGGTGTGTGCAGCGACCAGCGGACGGGCACCGGCCCAGGGTGGCCGGGCCTTGGCTCTGCCCCTCGTCCCATTTAGTGTCACGTAACTGTGAGATGATTTAATTTGTCTTATAGTAATTCTAGAGTCCTTATTATACATGGCCAACTGGGCCCCACAGCATGGCACGGGTATGGACACGGGCAGGCACGGCACTATGTAGCACGACAGCTTAGCCGTGCCGTGCCTGTTAGTGCCGCCGTGCCAAGGTCGTGGCCCCAGGCATGACACTAAGGGAGGTTAGCTGTGCCGTGCCATGCTCGTAGGCACTACAGCCAGCGCGTGAACGTGGCGGCCTGCAGCCATGCCTCGCACTCGAGGATGTCGTGCCGCCGTCGCGTCTTGCGCTCGTGGCCGCCGCTCCGCCACCGCAGCAGCCATGCCTTGCGCGAGGCCATCGCGCCACCACAGCAGCGCCTCAGGCGAACGCCGCCGCGTTGCCGCAGGCCGCAGCGCCTTGCCACGCCGTCGCGCCGTTGTCGTAGCCACGTTTGGAGGAGAGAAGGGAGTAGGGGAGGGAGTGGCCTAGGACATGCGGCCGCTGCCCTAGTGAGCGAGAGGCGGAGAGGATTCGACGCTTCGGTCGTTTGGGACTCGAGAGAAGGACCGAGCGAAAGAGTTGCGGTTGGGAGGGAGGAAAATGAGAGAGAATGAGAATGGAGGTAGCTTTTATACCTAGGTTTTCTATCAAGAGCTACATCCAATGGTCAGGAATACTCGAAGATGATCCAACGATTGAGAATAACCGGGCCGCCATCGTGGGCCATCCGGGCCATGCCAGGCACGGGCACGATCTGAGCCGGGCCGTGCCGTGCCTGGGCCGTGCTTATTAGTGTCGTGCCAGTGCCGGCCCATCGTACCCGGCCCAGCTGGCCAAGTATAGTCCTTATGCATATAATAAATGAATGTTTGTGAGTTACCACATAATAACAACCAATTGTACAATGGTGTATAAGTTCTCTCGTAGATCTAAATTTTAAAACAACCGCTTCTTTCTTTTTCCTCACACGCTCTTCCATGTCACCTAAAATTCTATGCGACACTGTACGAGACAACCGGTAAAACTGCTTACGTGTACCAATCACCAATCTGCTCGTCCTCAAGTGCCACGGCGGCTGCACGTACTCCTGTTGACCTTTTGTAATCTCGAGTTCTTTTGCATCGGCCGGTTTGGTTCGGGAATCGGGACATAAATATTGCGCGATGGATTAAACCAATGGCCAGACACAGTGATGGTGTTTTTCTACTCCAGAGTATGTGTTGGGACTAGGGACCGGCGAATGCTATGCTACGTTGTGCTCCCTAATGTTTGTGCAGCCAGAGCCATGTGCGAGAGCGTGGATCAGTGTGGCATCATTAATTCATTGTGCTCCCTATTGTTTGTGCAGCCATGTACGAACTAGGAGTAGATTCTATTCTACTCCCTCTATCGTACCTTCCTATTCCTAAACACCACACATTAGCCCACTGTTTTCTATGCGACCAGCAGCACTCTATCGTCGTCCTCCGCCCGCTCCATGGTTAAATATATTATTTTTTTCTTATACTAAATTAATCAATAGCATTTTTAGTTATGACTCAACAGCCAAACGAACAAACAGATCAGCCGATGATA